AATCTAATGGTGATATCTTTGTTCGAATGGGATCACCGGATGTCGAGATATCGGGTTCCAAAGTGACAAATTCATTTGTGAAATTTCCGGTAATATATTGTAGGGGTGTGTACTATAGTATCATAAAATTATTTTCAAAAAGTTAAATATATAAAAAAACAAATAAATTAGATTACAAAATCCAAAAAATAAAATAATTTTAGATTAGATTCTTATCTAGAAACATTTTAAAACATAAAAAATAAGCAGGAATTTTCTGTGATTTTGATAATATTTCTGAAACTATTTAAATAACAAAAAAACGGGCTTGTTTTTTACTGGAAATTGCTAGATGTTGTAACCCACCATTTATTGTTGATAATCAATGTTCAACTACGTAGTTTCAAAAATTTGTAATGTAGTTTGAAATGTAAATTCGTTCAACAAGATAAATATAAAATTTTACTAATTTGTGACTTGCTACAATACAAGCATTAAACGACTGAGGCATATTCCTTTTCAAGAAATAACCAAAGACATTTCTCATATTATTAAAGAACAAAAACCAAAAAAATTTTGAGATAATTAGCAGAGAAGTGAAAAAGATACTACGTAGAAGTCTGCTTAAAAAGAAGCATTCTGGATTTGGTTTGAAATATCTGAAAGCGAGATCTTGGTCAAACTCAATACATTGTCTCAGGAAGAAACCTGTTCACAGAAATTTACATGCTATCTGATACCAAACTGGATGTAAATGATACATCTTCAAAGATGGGTGATTAATTCGAATTTTGGTTACTTGGATCTATCGCAAATCATAAGACGTGTCCGTATCGGTATATAGCAATAGTTACATGTACAAGCATAACACAGTGATTACTAAAAAGACGATCAATATAAGGGTGCATTTTTTTTTATGACAATACTAATGCTTTCGTTGTTCCATTTAATTTTTAAAAATTCGGTAACGTGCATAATATTCTGTTTAGTATCCAAGTTGGAAAGTCAAAAAAAAAAAACATTTAATTAAAATTTTTAACTTCAGGAAAATGGAATTAAACTCGATATTTCAACTTTTACCTACGGAAATACGACAAGAAATATTTAAAAATCTTGATCGTGGTTCTTTGTTTAATGTTTTACGTGTGGATCGACAATCTATCCGCGAAATTGTACCAATTCTTTGGGCAGAACCATTCCGAGATGCACCAATAATACTTGAAAGCAAAACAGCATCTTACGTCCAATTGCAAAAAGTTGTGAGTGTATATGCAGGGAGTTTTTCAAATAGTACGTGGACACGCCTACGTGCTAACGGGATCAGTCGTCCTCGAACTACTCGACCACCAACATTTAATTATGCATCATTTTTGCGCGTTTATGAGCCCAGTTCGGTATTTGTAGCGGCTGGTGCATGGCTTAAACACAAAATAAGTATCCCAACTGAACTTCAGCTGAACAGACGACGAGCATTATCTATTGCTTTGTGTCAACTTTTTCTTACTGAAGCAACATCTATAAAATCTGTTTATTATGATCTATATGAGGATCCTGAATTTGTGAGATCAATCTTTTTGGAAGTTCAATCAAAAAATGACCTATTCAAAAATATCAATCACTTGAGCTTAATCGGGATTACAGACAACATAGAAGACATGAATTTTTTGGAAGATTTGGCTGAAACGTGTCATTTTATTCGTGGAATTACTCTTGTGATGGATGACTTAATGGTAAATACAAGTAAAGCGATTAACAATTTAGTTTCGAGGCAAAAGTCGCTACAATGGCTCAAAATAATATTTGGTTTTCTTCCGTCTCTGAAAGTTATCCTTAACTCGCTCAATTATTGCTCAAAATCTTTACGGGCAATTGAATTTCATGACACAAACTTTAGCATGTTTAATAGTGAAAATGTAATCAAGGGCTTGTGTGCGTGTGAAAATCTTCTTTGTCTGGATTTTTGCGATTGCATAGGATTAGATCAACAACCTTGGATCGAAATGGCCAAGTTTTTCAAAAAACTCGAATTATTACGCGTTATTCTTAGACATTCAGATACAATACCTCTTCAGTTTGTAAAGAAAATTATTGAATCTAGCTGCAATAGTCTTCAATATCTTCAAATTGGATATTCAGATTGCACAGAATTTTATTACAATAACAATCATATAATGGAAATGGTTGATGCTATATGTATGAACTCGCTTAATCTTCGCGGAATCGTGTTGGTGGGATTATACACTCCGAACGCAATCCCTTTGCTAGAAACATGCAAGAATCTTGAACACATCAGCATCAATACTTTAAGTTTGCCAAACTTGTTTGATATGCTGAAAGAAAGTCTTCCGCCGACTTTATATTCTCTTGAGATTCTCTGTCCATATTCTGGCATAAGTTTCGACTCAAATTCAAACAAAAATTTCTTTGATTTCCTGACTGCCAATCAAAATCATTTGAAAATTCTTTCAATCCATGATCTTGATTTTGTCAATGATCTAGTAGATATTGCAAGTGATTGTTATGGAGTAAAGTTAACTAGCGTCCCTACAAACATTGGTTTGTTTTCTTTTTTTCATATTTCATAGTTCGTATTTTGTATTATGTTTTCATTTACTATGATCTCATTTTCTTATAGAAGCCGAGACTTTTCCGGATTATTTTCCGCGATTTGAATAATGATGTGGTTATGTTCACAGGTACATTATTTAATTTTTTTATAGGATTCTTTTACTTGAAAATTTATTGGAGACAATTTATAATATAGTCAGACCTCCCTAAGTGCCACTCGTCGGACCATACAAAAACTTGCACTTAGAGATGTATTGCATTTGTGGAGGTAATAGTACATATATATCTTATAGGTTGGGGCAAAATTAGAACGTGCATTCAGAGAATAATTGCACTTAGGGGGTTGCACTTAGGTAGGTCTGACTGTGCGTCTTTTTGCTAAATTATGCTGTTCACACATTAATCATTATTTTTCCCTTTACGTAGAATTTGATATGTATTTACTTTTCTATTAAATTTTATAAATCGATATATAACAATAATATATATTAGTCAATTACAAATTTCATTTGTGGACATTGTGTTTCTTGTTCTAAAAAATTAAGGTACTTATAGAAGTATATCAAGCATATCATCGAACAGAGACGGTATTCAGCTACTGGAATCGTAGGGCTGTGATGAATAGAGCTAAACATGGCCTCGGTGAACATTTCTCCGGGCATGGCCTATTATTGATCTATTTCAATCCTTTAACATGCATGAAGGTAGCTAGTAAATATTGAAGGGAGCTTGGTAATGTTGCTGGATTTATTCAAGATATTGTAATAATTAAGGCATTGAAGAACACCAAATTAATAAATGCTAAATAATTATTAAATATCTGAAACAATTGAATAACAAACTTAAAAGCAATGCAAATAGAAAAATAATCATACGTGTAAATAATTAAATAATTTGGTAATCAGTTACTGTATTTTTTATTTCTTAAATTATTTACGTCTTAATACAATGGTGAATTGTATTATATTTGAGTGTTCACAATTTTTATTCTTTTATTTCAAGAACATAATATGCAATATATAAAAAGCTTTAATAATATATAAAAAATTCAAATATTCAAAAAGTTACAAGTGATATTTGTATTTTCATTTTATAATAATATTCTATCAAAGAGTAGTTATATTAATATTTAGAGCATATTTCAGCATGCGTGTTTTTATTTTTTGATATTGTATGAAATACAATGCTTTTTAATCCTGCTCTACGCCTTTCCTCTAAGCTTCATTTAAAAGTTTTGAACTTCAAAAAGGAATACGGCATTAATGACAACACGTGTTGGATATATCATTGAAATCGCTAGACATAATCTATCTTAGTTATATTTCCTATTATCAGACTTCTTAAATTGTTCGATTAAGTTTCATTTGGGCTTACAGTTCTTTGTCGCCAGCCTAATGCTTCTGGCGTTATCTTTAAAATTATTCTGAGAACCAATCCAAGCTAGTAGAAACCATTTTTTGACAATGCTTTTATTGGGATTTTCAAATTATTTTCATATATTCCTTATTCTTGTAATTCTGTTTCTCGAGTTTGGATTTCTGTAGATTGTTTAATGCAAAATGCGTGAATTGGAATTTGATACATATAATCTTGAATATATTTAGTCAAATTTACAAGAATTCATCCGCTGCTATCAACAAATTCAGTTGACTGGCTGCTATTGAAAATATGGGAAGCTTTTTTTATAAAAAAATGCATAATGTTATTGCTTTTGATTTGAATTCACTATTAATCGTGTACAACGCTTGCCTTTCAGATGGAAAGCATTCTCTGCTGATTGGGGACTCTGGACAACCCAAGCAAAAGCTTGGATATGGTGATTTTTTTAATATGTAATAAGGATCAATAGGACACCATAAGCTATCAACTTTATACCTTGATAAAAATTCAACAGTGGTAGTACGAGAGAAAACTACTGCAAATGATTATTTGGAAGTTGGGCTAAAATTCACTTCAACCAGATTATGATTTTTGTTTGTTTTGAGCTCGAATTATAAAAGCTGAATTCTGTTGACATTTATTAGCTAATATTTTCGGTGGGGGGGGGATAAAGCTTGATCTTAAGTAGTACAAATCTAAGCATTTTGATTGGGTAAAACTATCAAAATAATATTAGCGAATATATGTCAGCACCTAAGGGACTCTAATTTATAAATCGTTGATATGACTGATTTTCACTGATGAACCGACATTATATCGACGCTTACTATGTATATTATGAAAATTTAAAATAATAACGGATGAACTTTATTGGGATGAAACAATAGTAAAGAACTAAATAAAGATTAAAAAACATTATTATTATATTCTTATTTAAAAGAATTTACCATCGCTGAAATATTTCAAGCGGCAACAACGTGAATCCTTGAATCTCTACACTGTCATAGGTTTCAAGGAAAAGTCTTTCAATAGAAATAGGTAGTTATCGTAATTGATATTCTTGCTTTATTTTAAAGCTTCTTGATGCAGAGCAAGGAAAAACACAAGATATATTTTTTGAAATAAATGTTTGAGCTTGAAAAGAAAGGTTTTCTAGATATGGTAATTCGGTTGAGGAGGAACAATTTTCAATCACTAATGATTTCAATGTCTCTTTTTTTCGTGTATATTTCCAAGACTTGAATCGAAATCCATCAATCTAGAAGAGTTGACACTGTGCACGATTATACGCTTCTTATTGACACCGATTTCTCCATTTGTTTTTGATTTGATTGATAACATGTAGTGATTTGTAGACTAAACTGGCGAATTCCTATTCGTCCTAATGAGTTGCAATATTGTGATTCATTCTCCTGATTATCTCATAACAGTCTTGGATTGGTGTATTTAAATAGAGACTCGCTAATGGGGCTCTGAAGACACGAAGTGTATTCATCGGTAAAATATTTGAATAACTGTCCTATAAGAGTTAGCATTTAATCATTTAATAATCGTAAAAAATTCAATAGTTCAGAAATCATTTGTTTGTCAATTTCCAATACGAAAGAATAACTCTAATATTGTTTAATACCGCTTTGAGAAATTAACTACAGCCTCACTATCTAATTCTTGCAAAATAAGTGATATTCTCAAACTATCGGGATAAACGGGATATATACAAAGCCAATATTACAAAGTAAAGAATGTGAATTTTTTTATATCATCTTTAAAGGCATTTAGAAATTTGTTATGACAGTTCAAGATGGATATCACTCATTTCTGTTTGTGACAATTCAATAAAAAATCAAAAATTTTATTTCTTTTTAAAACTGCGACAATGTGAAGAATTCTAGTTAGAAATGCGCAGTAGACTACCGATAATCCTATGACACAATGCATTACATGGTACATGTACAAGGATCGAACGATCAACTCGAACTCTTTAATTCTCGATCGCGCGTTAACGTTAAACATGTACGAAACACATTCGGCTTATCGTTATCATAATAGAATCTGTGAATCAATAACTAGCACTTCTTAACTTTAAAAGTATTAACTTGAGTGATACCGATAACTTTAATTTAGGTATCGGTATAGTCTACGAGAAAACAGCCCATCGAAATTATACAGCATTGTTGATATTTTCGAATTAAGATAGGCACTTTAATTACGGACTCGCTTCGTCATAATGAGATTTTTTTATGCAAAACAAGTCTGTGGAATAATTTTAACTTAACTAGTAACTTTATTTAAATTTCAAATTGATTTATTAATGCGATGATTAATAATTTAATTAACATATTAGATTTTCAAAAAAGTTTTTGTTCATATTCTCGAGTTTCTTTTCTAGTCACTAATAAACATTCGATTGAAATAAATAAATACGATCATAGAGGATGACAGTAATTAAGAATTAACAATTAATTAATAATTAATTAATTAATTAAATTAATTAATTAATCAATTAAGTAATTAAACTTGCTTTAATTGCAAAAGCGTTCTTTTTCTTTCCGAATTCTAAATTCCGAAGAACCCAACATAACGATAATGATAAATTCATAATTTCATTTGAATAAATCTCGATATCATATGCAAGAATGACAGTACGAGAATGTTTTTGTGCGAGTGATCATTTGCAAGAAAGATTTATCACATGAAATCCGTTTATTAGTTCTATATTAAAATATTCGAATCTGATAAGTCAGTCCCATTCATCTTATAAAAGCGGAAAAAGCTTTTTATGTACACGGAATGGATATAAAAAAAAGAAAATTCCGTCTCTGATTGCAAAGATTTATTTTTACATGTACGTATTGCGAAGAACTATGAAAGATGCTTACAATGACATTTCGAATTTTAAAAATAACAATACCGATATCGATACGTATACAGTATTTTGATGTGTGTTTGTGTGTGTACACAATATAACAATGATGTAGCAGTGCTTCCGTATTTGAAATATATTTGAATATTATTAATTTTAAAAATTCGTTACTTTATTCAACGTCAATATATATACACTCTAAAAGAAGCACGTCAATAATAATTGCTTTTTAGAGGTGCATGTACAAAGAATACAAATATGTTCTTCATATTTTGACGAATAAAGTATTATCAATGGCAAACAACAGCAGCCCATACTGAAAATTTTTGTGTTGATTCTTTGTATTTTTGAAAGAGCTCTTGTTTTCCGCCATAATAACAGCCAAGAGATTATTGCTTACTATCCGAAGTAAAATAAATTAAAAACGGTTATCCGTTTTTAGTGGACTTGTGTTACAATTATTTAGAACTACGTAAATATCGATATTAATTCTGTATGGTACGAGTAACAAGCTAAAAACATTAGTACGAGTTCGAAACAGGTGATTATTTCTCAAATCCGGTTATTTTTTGCTATTGAGCTTTATGGTACCTACGTACTATCAATGATGACACGCGTGTGATCTCGCTAGTTTGCCGAATTCTCTATCAGTATTCACTCGTGCAATTAAAGATCGATTGAGGCACTGAATGATGGATTCCGTAATAGTGGTTTTTTTTTGTTTGAAATGGCGTTATCTCGGTATTATTAGGAAAATACACTATACTTAAATCTGCTTTTCATATTAAATAATCTATAATTAATTGACGCACTGAAAGCAGATTGATCGTCTCAATGAGCTATTTTTTCTATTTAAAAAAAATGCATTCTTTGAACATTGATTGTTCTCGTCAGAACGGTATTTATTCAGCCGTTGACTCAAGAATTTCAATATTAGGTAAATTAACCGATCGATTAATAGATAGGTTGATTGATGCACGTATACATGTACATAACTGATAACGAATTTGCCTGATTTCTCTCTCCCGAAGATTAAGTATAAGAAGTATATGAAAAACTTTTCTTAGCACGTAAATACACATACAGACACATACACAGAAACACAATGCACAACCACACACTGTACGAGATAAATAAAGTTTTAAGTACATGAACTTGAAAAAAAATAGTTGCACACTGTCGTCTTGTAAATTCTTCCAGCGAACCATAGCTTTCCTCCTCCTTTTTGAATACTGAATCTTTACGAATATGAAATATGGAATTCACACACAGTGTTACAAAAACTCGGCACAGAACACTAAAAGCAGTTACCATATGATTAGTTGTATTTTCTATTTCGGGATTGAATTAAAACTTATCTAATCATACAAGTTGAAAAAAATGTTACACCAAATTCAAGTAACCGTAAAAAATATCGTATCACTGTAACAATTCGATCACACGCCCCAACTAAATATATTTCATATATTTTTACTATATTACATATAAATTTCAAAAAATACAGTATAAATTTGGCAATTTTATGTAGTGGTAAAGAACAACAATATTAACGTAAATAAAAGAATAACTATTTACCTGCCGATTTCGGCTGATTTTTTCATGCATGTATTATGATTGCTCAATATTATCGTTATATAACGATAAGACATCCGAATTATGCGAATATTTTAAATATCAGGAATTTCTTTATTTGGAAATTTGGAAATTTAGAATTTGATTATATAAAATGACAACAATAACAAAAAATGCGCGTTCAATTAGCAATTTACACAAGAATACTTTTGCGCTCATTGATCTGTCAGTGGTTTAAATTGATTATTTGAAGCAGCAGCAGCATTAGCTGTCGGACCCAATAATGCAAATATTTCAACCATCAATTCGGCGAAATGCGGAAAATCTGCAGGTGACCCCACCACCCGTTTAAATTCGCCGGTCTCACGAATTGCTGTGAAATTATCCACGAGATATTTTACGAGATATTTTCGTAGTTCTGGATATTTGTGTGTGCCATCGTTAAATAAGCGCGCCGTCACATTTTCGAAGGTCAGTGTTTGGAAAATTTCTGTTTTTGCGTGGATCCTCAGGTCAGGTAGTTCATATTTGACGGCAATTTCGTAAATTGATAGTGGATTTACTGTGCTGTCGTTGAAAGTTATCTGATCGGTGTAAATGTAACGTATCATCTCGTAGAATGTTGTGTAGTTAATTTCTGTGTCATCAATTTTTATGGTTTGAAGTCGATTAGTTGGAGTTGTACTGCTTCCCGAAGTTTCTTGGACAGGTGTATCTTCCAATGTAACTAATTCAAATGAAGGTTGAGAAGAATTTTTATTCTTAAGCGCGTCTCCTACACTTAATTCTTTCGGTTCTTCTTTCGGTCTTTCTTGCTGAGCCGGTGGCTCAATCTCAAATAAATGCCGAAAATGTTGTGATCGAGCTTTTAAAATGTCAATGTGACAATAGATTGGTTTATCATCGACCAAAAATTTCACATCTGCCGTGTTCTGATTGCCTAAATGTTGTTGCCATGCATCAATCAAATATTTGGGAGCTGAATTCCACGGAAGAGTTAATACCGATTTGTGTTCCTTTGCTTTTGGTACATTCGTGAATTCTACACCGACTACAATTTTGCCACCTTCAAGATACGATGGTTTCTTCCAAATTTTTTTAAACCCTAAACGTTATGAATATGGTTTTATTTTATTTATGCTTTCTCTTTTTCCACGTTCGAAATGATAATTTAACAAATTATTAATACTAACCTATCCACGTGCCCATAATTGAATATCCATCGGTACAAAATTCCCTGGCGATAATATCGTTTCTGGTAATGTGGTTCTTCAAGTATACCCTTGCGGTCAATCCGCCGCGAGCTTGCCACGATGATTCGGATACTGATTCTTGTGTATTTGGAATTGCTGTCAGAAATAAATCGTAGAATTCGGAATCTTTATCATTCGGCTATAGATTTAAAAAAAAATGGAAATTAAAATTCTCAATTTCGAATCGGGGGTTGTACTTCATATTATATAATCAAAATAATTATTATATAATCAAAATAAAAATGAAGTACATACAGGACCAAAAACTAATTGCCAAAAAATATCATCTGCAGTTGCAAACAACGGACTATGCACAGGCTTCGAGAGCTCGAGTACATCCGGAACGACAAACTGAAAGGTAATCTCATCGTTAAATGTACTTTGTCTTGTATTTGACGATGATGACGATGACGAAACTGCTCCTGTGATCAAAGTGGCTGCGTCGGAGAATTTGAAGTTTAGCATATTTTTTTTCTTCGGCTATTTTGTAGAAAGGTTATTCTGACTCTTCTTTGTACAATTATAGCAAAATAAAAATTAATTAATTAACTTTAATTGGAGATTTTATTATTTTCATACACGGACACACATGTAAATAACAAATAACAAGTTTATCAAATCAAATGATAACGATAATAATTATAAATAACATAAACACAAACCTAAATCAATTAAATCAGCAACGATAAACTAGTTTATCTTACTACGTAGCGGTAGTTGCTTCTGATAATCGATTATTTTTGTTTGTACATGTACATGTACATGTATTCCGTGTCGATATTAATTATTTAACTCTATTTAGTTTCTCAAAATATCATCATGATAAAGTACATGTAATTGTCAAAAATAAGCACGAGAACGGAAAAAATGCTTTTTCTAAAAAATCACGAAATAACGTTCGTTCATTTTCTCAGTATCTATTCATATGCAATCAACAGCATTTCTTTGATGGTAAGTGACACGAGATAGTTGAGCAGTATTTGCAATTGTTAAAAAATGCCTGGGTCGCATATTAACAGTTACTCTGCTCACGTATTTATACGGCAGGAACTAAAATTTTCCGTCATACGAGAAATGCACTACAAATAGCAAGTAGCGAAATTTAGATACATCATGCGGTGAAACATTTAGCTAATGTACTTATCGATATTAACGCTAGAAGTCTAATGATTATTCGTTAGTTTTTAAAATTAGATGAACAGAAAGCAAGTGTTGTATTCTAATTGTAGCAGTTAATGACCGTAATTTTGAGAATTCTTATCTTGGTTTTTTCTTTGTTTTTTTTTCCCCTTAGCCATAATTTAGTCGCGAGAAAACCTATGCGAATTAATTGAGTTAATTGATAAAATTAATTTATTCACAACAAAAAAAACAAAATTTCTTTTTGATTCTTGGTGAGTGAAGGAGCGAAACAGTAGCTTTGGTTTTGGAGGCCAATCTCTTTATCTGATTAATTACTTAATCAAACAAATATCAAGACCCAGCTCATACATACATACATACGAAACTTCCGCAATATTAACGTTAAACTATTTACATGTAATTAATCGCTCAAAATGGAATTTTGTGATCGTTAATAAAAAAATTTCCCATATATATTTGTCAGTAATATTTTCAATTTTTACAACGAAGCATTATAGGCCATTAACAATATACGTACGTAAAAGAATGATTTCTTTTTGTATTATGACAAAATTGCTTGCTTGATTATTTGCATCTCTATTCTTGATATAATTTCGCGTCGAATGGTGCATTATCAAAAAGAGCTCGTGATTACTTTAAAATACGGATAAAATATTTCTTAAATATAATTATAATAGTAATATCGACATCAATTTGTTCTATTGTTATAGTATAACAAGAGAATAATAATAGACATCATTTAACAGAACAATTATACTATTTTTGTCGAATCGAACCGATTTTCTCTAAATCGACTAGCCAGCCGAGCCGACAAACCAACCTGATAATCAAGAAGATATTGTTACGTATTATCAACCAAACAAAAGGCAAGAAATACAATAATTTTTTTCGAGGACAACAACAGCAGCAGCACAAAGAACAAACAAAAACATTATCATTTATAATCTGCAACCAAAATTCAAATTCGTAAACAAAAACAGCAACACCACCAAAAATAAAATATTTCACTGCTGCTTGCTTTTTCCAATAACAAAAACCATCGTCGGACATTATTTTTTCCGAATTACAGCATTTTACGTAGTTAGGAAAATCTAACTTCGATTTTTAAAGTTCATTTTAAAATACAGTATAGCACACTCCACTCACTACGTATATATTTATACATTAATACATTAATATTATTAATTATACACATATAAATATCAATATATTTATAGGTTGAAATTTTATCGATTTTGATTGTTGATATTTTAATTAATTATATTTCATAGTCAGTTTGATATTTTTATTATTCCTAGTGTTATCATATTATTATTACTAGTGTGGTCATATTTTGGGTTAAAAACCTCTTTTTTTACACCTTAACTTCTTTTAGTTTTTTATTTTTTTAACAAAAATTCCTAGTAATTAATATTTCCCTAAATTTTAGATTTGCTGCATTATTTTTTTTTTGCTCGTTATTTTTTTAAAGAAAGACCGCGAATTCATCAACGACGCAAAATGCATAACGGTATATCGTCATTTTCTTCGTCTCAAACCAAAATTGAACACGAGCGCACGGCAGAAATAGTGAGAAAGACGGAAGAGGTCAGTTACATATTAATTATCAGGATAAATAAAAATGCAACGAAAGAAAACGAACAAAAAAATACCTTACTGTAACAAACTATCTAGGTTATTAGAGCGTATAGGGAAGCAGGACACGCACTACGATATGTTTCTCAAGTCGTAGGTGAACTACAAAAAATCCTTCCCGAAGACATGTGCATTCGCTTGCCAACCGGATTGCTCAACGGCCCTCCATCAACAGAGCTACACTTACCCGATGAAATCCGAAAAAATGATTTATTGCGAAAATTCAAAAAATCATCGACCGCCGCGAACATAAACACCGCTGCTAATTCCAATCCAACACCACCCCCTAACTACGGTGAATTCATCATGGATATCGATCCAAAGCCACAGAAATTCCGTCCTATTGCTCCGACTATTATTACCAATAGCAGTATCAATGCTATTATACATCATGATAATAGTAGTGATAGAAAATCATCATCAAAGGAGATTCTACCACATAAATCTTTTGAGAGCACAATCAAATTTCCGGAATGCGTAAAGGAAGAAGAGGAGCAAGAAGATGAACTACTGCCAAGGAAACCACTATCTTCAAATGGTCATAGTCATCATCGTCGTCGTTCGTTAAAATCTAGTAAAAAAATAAAATCATCCTCAAAGTCAAAAAATCGCCATCAGCCTTACGAGAGGCTATCTGCGTCTTCAACAGACGATGAATCTTCCGAAATTCCAAAAGAATTCTTTGCGATGAAAATGAATTTCAATTCAGACAAATCATCAATAATGAGCACTCATTCGCGTATGGAAAAATATCAGAAATCCCGAAGAAAGAAAGAAAAGCGACCAAAGAAACAACAACAGATTGCTAGACACAGTCCACCTTCAGATGACGAAGCATTTGATTCTACTTCTCCAGGTACAACTACTTCTAATAACAGTATCATTAAGAAACCAACGACCACGCCGAATCCATTAACTGCAGAGCAGCATGCACTTGTCGATGATTTCTTAAAATGTCTTGAGCCACGACTTGCCAGTGGGACTGTCTCTCAAAAAGGAATCGCATTAGAAATTAGGCAAGTGTCTGGAAACACTTCGCAAATAGTTCAGGGTACAATTTCAAAATTGATACGAAAAATCGCAGTTCCGAAGGATAGCGCGACTATCGCAGCGATTCGTGCATGGATCGAAACAGAACAAGCGAAGAATGAAAGTTCGAATTAATTCAATCTATCAAATCAACAAATAAATTAGATGTATATAAATATGGAAGGACGAATTAATGAATGAATGCTAATATATGTATATGTAAAGATTTATTGTAATTATTCTATCCATATGATTATGTTCACCAGAATAATTGAATTTTCTAAGAATTAGATAATGAATGGCTTGATCTCTTAAGATTTTATTTTTGTTAGATTTTTACGAAATCTAAATTTATTTCATGACTGATTTACTTAAATTCTATACAGAATTAATTAATTTTTTTTTCGGTTTTATTTTGTATTATTCCATATAACGCGTCAATTTTTATTTTGTACATGAACAAAAAATAATAAAAAAAAATATTTTCAAAATTATTTAATCCGCTATTAATGTTTCGTTTTCGGGAAAAGCCGAAAAAACAACGATAATGATTATACATGTGCATGTAAATATTACGTTTGATCAAACTTCTTATTTCTAGCATTTCATCAATATTTGTGCCAAGATTTGTATCAATGTGCGCAAACATTTATATTTAGCAATCACTGATTATGTAAATATTTGATTATAAACTCACATATGAATCTTTAACGTTAGGCAGTATGTATCGGATCTGATACTTATCCTGATTAATTTTCTTTTAGACATAGTTAACTATTAATAACGATAATGATAATAGAAAATAATTTTCAAGAACACTAATCTAATCAACACTGATCTAATCAAAACGAAAAGTTATTTTAAAATTAAAATAATTCTCCGCGATATATTAATTTTTGAAAGAATAAGAGATATTAATACTGAAAAATCCAACTCCGCATTTATATACAAATTAGTCTGATTAAACGTAAAAAAATCAACATCTCCAATTATCATATGAAAGCCGTTAAACTAGCAAATAACTCTTAACAGATCTCATGCAAGGTATTATAACAAACAATAAAGACCATAGAGTTTTTCTTTCATAGCACGTATTAGTATCAGCTAGGCTTTGCTCATTTATTCTTCATCCATGTATAGCTTCGCTGATGATTTACTCCAATTTTAAAGTTCCGTTTCATAGTAAAAGATTAATTAATTATACATTTTCACATGCACGATCCATTGATTGAAACATTATCCAGCATACAAAAATTTTGCAGCGATGATGTTACGCTAAATATAAATAAAATTTAGATCTACGGCAAAAAAAATTTCGGAAATGCTTTTCAAGTATTTACACAGTTCCGATGCAATGAAATCGATGTGGTTAACTAAAAAGACATGCAGTATGAAAATTGTGTTTAAATTTTAAGAAAGAGAACAAACATTAGCTCCTTTTTTTGCGCTTCGTTAATTCTAAAAGGATTCTTTTTACACCATTCAAAATAATACATATACTATTGCTATGAAACAAGATTTTCTACAAGTTTTTTCATTTAGGGATCCAGTTAATTATGCATCAAGACGGATAAGTATGCTATTTTATGTCGTAGCCATTTCTGAAGTAAATAAAGTTTATAATTAGCCCTTATCGCTATCGTATGGATAAACGAAACACTCGTGCTTTATGCCCATTTATCAATAATAATTGTTTTATCATTATTAAATCTCTCATTAAGATAAATGTATAGACGAAAATATACATTCATTAAAGGTTTCAAAACTCTATTGCTTTTTGTATACAGTATGTACAAGTTCGACGATTTCATCTTTCAATATATTTTGATCTTTATGACTTTTATAATCACGTACATCTGTTGCACTTTAGTCTGTCCGATTTTGCACTAAATTATATTAACAATCAAGTGACATGCACAAAAATTTTGTTGTGAATCTATTATCAAAGTTTTTTATGTTTGTTATAGAAACTCAATTTAATGCATAAAGTTAAGATTGCTTGGCTCTTTTGCGTTGAATTAGTAATACGTGAATACTTCTTAAACTGGAAGTTAATCCTGAGCTTCTCTATAACGATAAGAAAAATACGCCTTTAAATGTTAATATGTATGTCTGTAAAAAAAGTACATGTACAAAAAAACCTGATATGTCTTTAAATAACTTGTAAAAGGTCGCTTTTTACATGTGTTTTACAGATGTATAAACAAGTATCGAGTATGTAAATGCATGAAAAGCGTAGGACGAACGGACTTTTACATAAGTGATTTACGTGTATATATCGATATGTCTGTTAAACACATGTAAAAAGTGATCTTTTGCATTTATTTACAGACATATCCGAATTTTCGACATTTTTTCGTACAAAATTTTCTTATAGGGCGTAGGTAGTTAGAGTTTTAAAGAACTCGTAAAAGATGTGAAACTAAGAAGAGTGCTAGTAATTTTTCTTTGAAATAACTGAATTTGTGATCCAGCGAAATTTACTAACGTCAACGCTAAATTTATTGCTACTATTGCTATTAATTTGGGGGTATTGATCTACATAGTACAGATTAACATTAATGGCTAGTAGATTTTCATTGGTTCCCACACGGAACACGAATTAAAAAATTCATCATCTGTTTCCCATTGAAAATGCATTTTCGGCTTTCCGTTTCCTTTGCCTTTTAAGTGATCTCTGCCAAGGTTCAACAACTTGCGATTTATTCCTTTTAAAAGCATGTAAAGTTTATCTATAATCAGAAGATCCAAACTATACTAAATATACAATTTATTCAATTTATTAGAATATTAATATATAATTATTTAAATAATATTAATGCTTATATATACATGTATATATATTTAAAGAACAAAAAATTATCGTAAAGCTTCACTTTAAAATATGAACCACAACTTGGTCCAATTTTTTTTTAGTAAATCATTTATTTTTTCCGCAAATAATTAAATTTAGATTTCACTATGCGATTTTTTTAAAAATTTAGTTACTGATTTAATAGCCTTGAGGTTAAATTGAGGTTTAAATTTTTTAAATTTTCTACTAAGAGAATACCATACAGAGCGCTTTACGATAGGTTGAAAAAATGATTATGAAAAATCCATTATAAATAATTTTTATTTGTAAATTAATCTTGAATAAATTTGCTTATATTATAAAGATATTATTAGATTATTATAAAAATCAATATAACTCAAAAGTTTGAAAAAAATTTTTATTAATATAAATTTTTATATTATTTAAAAAATTTTATATTATTTAAATAATTTATATTTCTTTGCTGTATACAATAAAATTAATATTTTTTGTAGTAATATCAAAAGAAATATGATAGCATTGAAATTTATTAATAAAACATAATAAAATAGCTGAACACAATAAAAAAGAAAGAGAAAATAATTAAATAAAAAATTATAAAATAATTTATATTTTTAAATATAATAGTTTTTTACAACAAATAACATATTTATAAGTTTATTTTATATTAATTACAATAAAAATTTATTTTTTATTATACTTAATTCAAATATAAATGAGTTCTTCTTTTTATATAAAAGAATTTAATTTTATATATATTTTAGATTTTATTTGAAAAAGATTTTATAATTGAAAATTTATTTTTATATAAAAATATTAATTTGTAAAAATAAATTATTAATCAATAAAATTAAAAATTTTTATTTAAAAGTATAATATATAAAATCTAAAATTATTAATTATTTATATTTTATAAAATTTATTTTTAATAAATTCATTCATTTTACAAAATTTAAATATTTGAAACTTTAAATTTTATGTATTATAATATTTTTATTTACAATATATATATATAATAGTAATAAAAAAATGTAATACTAAAACAAATTTATTAATAAAACATAGTAAAATATAAGTATTTTTCTTTATATAAATATTTTTAATTTTACTAATAAATATTTTTTATTTTTATATTAAAATAAAGTTATATTATATATTTTAACATATATTTTTTTCAGATTTTTTAGATTTAATCTAATAAAGCTATTCTAATTGCATATAAAGTTAATTATTTTTTTATATGTTTTTATTATTAAAAAATAATTAATTTTATAAACAATTAGAACAACTTCATCAGATTAAATTTAAAAATTCTAAAAAATATATATGTTATAATATGTAATGTTATCTTTATTTTAATATAAAAATAAAAAATTATTTATTAGTAAAATTGAAAACTTTTATATAAAGAGAAAAACTCGTATTTTTTATATTTTTACTATATTTTTTTTAATGAATTTATTTTAATGTTTCATTCATTTTGATTATTATATATATATATATAAGTATGATTAATAAATATTAAATCAAATAATTAATTAATTATATTGTTATAATATAAATATTTAGTTCTTATTTTATTGATTAATTTATATTATAAATTTAATTGGATGATATTTTATTATCTTCTATTAGTTAAATTTATATTTATATT